TTAAACTTTTTTAGATAGGGAGGAGTAGTAGTGTGAGATTTTAACACCCACCACGCCGAATGGCTCAGTTCACGTCTAACTGATCATGCGGGGAGATTTTTTTGTGACTTTGCCTTCTGGTGGTCTTTTGCTGCTGGTGACAGCTGGTTAATTCGCCTAATCTGGATTTCATATGTGAAGGATCACGCACCTTCCCTGTTGGGCCTTCTCCTGACCTCTCATTCGGATGGAAATCAAGTTTCCGTCGACGTCCCTCTAGGCTTGTCGGACTATTGACTTGTCCGAAGTGTGGTGCCACTCATATAACTTCTCGCTTGCATTCTGCAGGCTACCGCCTTTTTTGGCATTGTAAGTCGGCCGATTGTAACGGCATGCGGTATTTTTTTGCAACCTAACCTAAGAGGCGAGTGTGCTTCTCGTCGGAAGATCCCAGCATTGTTGCTGATTCTGCTGATTCTGACATCAGCGATGTGGTACTTCAGGGTACGGAACTTTTTATTTTATCCTCTTTGGTGCCCATCTCAGCGATGGTTTGGACGCTCCTGTAAAATACACGCTATAAGCAGAAGTGGTACCGGGCCTGAGCTGACGCATCAACGCTCGGGATGCAAGCACCAGCGCTCTTAAAATGAAGTATAATTCCGCCTCCAGGACCTTCAAAAGAGTCACTGTCAATGCAAAGTCTGAGCACATCGGCAGAATTGGCGAAAAGTTAGTTCACCTTCCTTCGGGAACCCGTGCATTCTCGCCCCCTTGTCAAGGCTGTTTAGGAGAACTTCTGTCAGTCATCTCTTACATCTCTGCACAGAGAGGACGACTCACTGGCCTACGCCGCATAAAATAAAACCGATCTTTTAGGCTCCCTTTTTGCATCCAACTCGACTCTCGATGACGGGGTAACATACCGCCGACCATCCCGCAGCGTGAGTGAGTTACTCGACTCCATCGAGTCAGTAATTCATTCTTGGGGCGATGTATATACGCTTTTACAACAAAATTCCAGGAAATATACAAAATTTGACCTGCTCAAAGTTCAAAAACTTTATTAAACTAAGTTTGTATAAAAAGGGTTATTATAATATTAATGAATTTATAGATGATAATAACCCCTGGAAATGAGGTGATCGCTACCAAGCTATTTCTAATTTGTTGTGTTGTTAATTTGTGTAACATACATGATTGTAAGCTGTTATTTAAAAAAAAAGTCTCGCTGGGTTTCTTGCTGGTTCTTCCCAGGACAGAGGTTTTTTTTTCGAACCAGTGGTAATCATACAAAAGACTGACTTTCAATAAGTATTATTTATAATCTATATTGAATAAAAAAGTTTCTGTTTCTGGTTCTGTTTCAGTGCTCTATGCCTGATGTGCGATTTACACAGTGCTCAGTACGCAAAGCACTCCTCTCCGTGGACATACACCAGTCGAGTGGGCCTGACGGCATCCCGACAATTGTGCTTAGGACGTGTGCTCCAGAGTTGGTACCGATTTTAACGCATCTTTTCGGGTACTGCTACTCCCTAGGTGTTATCCTGACTTCATGGAAGACAGCTTTCGTGCACCCGATCCCTAAAAAAAATTACCGCTCTGCTCCGTCCAACTATAGGCCTATCACCATCACCTCCTTGTTCTCGAAAATAATGGAATACATTACTCGTATTAACTACCAGCTCACCTACTGATCCTCAACTACTGCATAGTAGGTGAGGAAAACCAGCTGCTTGGTGACCGCCAGTACGATTTCCATCGGGGTCACTCAGCTGGTGATATTGTTGTTTATAGGCATTTTTTATAGAATTAGAGTGACAAGCGAGCACACAGTCCACCTGATGGTAAGTGGTTGCTGTGGCCCATAGACATCTACATCTATCTTCATTTGCAAATTAAAATGCATATGCGTTGTCAGCCGTGAGTACTAAGGTAGAATGCCTGTTTTCCAGTAAAAAGAGTCTCAGGTTCTCTACACTCATCATACGTAACAGCAGCATTAAGCTGCTCTTTTACGCTGGTATTCTGTAAGAGCGTGGACCTTCCCCGGTCGAGTATTCGTGTTACAACTATACTATTAATATAGCTGCAGCATGGCTCTACCACGTAAAATAATATAGGCAATCGAGTCAAAGGGGTAGGCATTGGCCGTTAGTTTGGACATATCGAAAGCCTTCGATCGGGTCTGGCACAGAGCGCTTCTTACTAAGCTTCCTTCATATGGGCTTCCCGAGAAATTGTACAATTAGATTAACAGTTTCTGGCTGATCGGAGCATCAAGGTCGTAAAAGATGGTGCATGCTCCGATACAAGCCTATTAACGCTGATGTTTCACAAGACTGCGTGCTATCACCAACACTGTTTCTTCTGCATCATTGCAGCCCTTCACAAGTCCACTGCTGAACATAGGCCTCCCCCAAAGAATGCCACAAAGCACGGTCCTGAGCCACCTGCATCCATCGACTTCCTGCATGTCTTACCAGGTCGTCACTCCATCTCGTGGGGGGACGCCCTACACTTCGCCTACCGGTACGAGGCTGCCACTCGAGAACCTTTCTTCCCCATCGGTTGTCGGTTCTTCGAGCTATATGGCCGGCCCACTGCCACTTCAGCTTACTAATCCGTTGGGCTATGTCGGTTACTCTAGTTCTACTGCGGATATCCTCATTCCTAAGTTTATCACGCAGAGAAACTCCAAGCATAGCCCTCTCCATAGCTCGCTGAGCGACCTTGAGCTTCCTCATACGGCCAGCAGTGAAGGACCACGTCTCAGTTCCATAAGTCATCACTGGCAACACGCACTGGTTGTACAATTTCGTTTTCAGGTTTTGAGGTATGTCTGACGAGAAGATGTGTCGTAGCTTCCCGAACGCTGCCCAGCCGAGTTGAATCCGTCGATTGACCTCTCGGTCGAAGTTGGACTTACCTAGTCGGACTATTTGTCCGACTAGGTAATTGTTTCTTCTGCATATCAATGATATATTGCAAACCGGTAACATTCGTTGTTATGCGGATGACAGCACTGATGTTGTTCTATACACTGACTGTGCCAATATTTATCGGGAAAACGTCGCCGAGTACCGGGACAAACTTTTCTCTGAATTCGAGTCTTTACTGAACAAATTCTGGGATTGGGCCTAAATATGGTCCTGTTTAATCCTCAGAAGACACAAGTTTGGGCGTTTACCACTAAAAAGAACCTCTTTGTCGTATCTCCTCAGTTTCAAGACACTCCCCTTGTTGCTTCAGCCAGTATCGGAATTCTCGGCGTCGACACATCGAGTGACGTGCAGTTCCGTCGTCACTTAGAACAGAAGGCCAAATTGGTCTTTAAAAAGCTTAGCGTGCTCAGCAGTGAGGGACAGTATTTCGTGCCGGCACACTGCCTGCAACTTTACAAGGCGCAGGTTCAGCCTCACATGGAATAATGTTCCCATCTCTGGGCTGGGGCTCCCCAGTGCCAGCTCCTTCCACTTGACCGCATCCAGCGTAGAGCGGCTCGAATCATTTACGACCGAACCCTTTCCGATCGCCTCAATTCACTGGCGCTGCGAAGAGATGTTTCATCTCGTTGCATTTTCTTTCGCATCTACCACAGGGAGTGCTCTGAGGAATTGTTCGGATTAATCTCAGCCGCCAAATTTCGCAAACGCACAACTTGGCAAAATTTACGATACCATCTACACCATCTAGATGCTTGGAGGTCCACCATTGTGTGTTTTAGTAGGAGTTTTCTTACTCGCTCAACTTCTCTGTGGAATTGTTTACCACCGGCGATTATTCCGGACTGATACGACTTAGGCACCTTCAAGAAAAGAGATTACTCCTTTATGAAAGGCCGGCAACTCTTCTACAATTCCCCCGTTGTTGCGGTAGTTCATGGGCATAAAAGTGGAAGAGAACTAGTATAATTAATTACAGGTATTTGATGCAACCCTATTTAGGTCTCAATAGTGACAACGCAACCGTGGCCTTTTTATTCGCATTTAGCTGTAGATGTCCATGGGCTACAATAGTACATCAAGTGGGCCGTTAGCCTGTTTGTTACTTTAGTTGTAATTACTTATACTATTTATGAAATTCATGATGATCACTTTCAAAACATGAAATAAGAAACTACATTGTCCTTCATACATACATAACTCACAGAGAGAGTCGAGAGAACAAATAAACTGTAACAAAAAATTTCCATTGCCCATTGTGTTTTTCATATTTTATACTATACAGATTTGAGTGCATTGTTCCATATACTCTTTGTTTTTTACTGTGTAAATTATTCATAATTAAGTTTGCTTGTAAATGTACCAAAGTCTACTATTACAATATGGAAGGTCTGGTACCCTGTAAGACAGGTTTACCTAGTACAGGGTTCACAGATCACTGATTGTGTTATGTAATGCCTACTCCTTATAAAATAAATAAATAAAAAAAATATATTATTGTACAAGAAATTTTACCGCAAGATATTTAACGCTTCTGTTCGTATTCTATTTTTAAGTTTTTCGTCATACTACTAGCGTCCTGAACCACTCTTAGCACAAGCATTCAGCTCAGGTTGAGTGCTTAACAAATAATCACTTAACACATAACACATCATCGACTACCTCTATTTCCTTCAACTATCCTTCAAGTGCCTTTGTACATTATTGTATTTTTACAATTTTCATATCGAAGTATGTGTGTACATAAACTGTTAAATAAATAAAATAAACAAAAATAATCGTAATGCGTTAATATTACTGCTTGTATACTTTTTTTTCAACTTACATTTTTGATAAACGGTAACAATAGTGAAACGGTAAAATTTAAAGAATACTAATTAATATTAGTGTCATTAAGCAATAATTACCCAAAAAATTAAGGAAAGTATGAGTACACATTTTATAAATCTGCGTGGTAGTTAGAAATAACTGTAAAAGTACAACTAAATAGGTTTGAACAGGTTACTTAAATGCCATGTAATTGGAACTATATAAGACAGTTTTATTTCATTAACTCTAGTATCAGCACTCAACATGGCTTTCACCGAACAGGTAAAATTCATTTACATTTTTGTCATTCAAATTTTGCATTTTTGCTCATTTAACTCGGCAGTTGTTTATTTTTTACTGTCCATTTAAAAGTTAACATGTATCTAATGTTTTATATATACAAAGTGGCATAGAATATTTTTAAATCATATATTATCTCTGTACATTCGTATATTTGACTGTTATATCCAACCTTAGAAAAAAAACTGGCCAAGTGCGTGTCGGGTCACGCACAATGTAGAGCATCATCATTTGTTGTGTGTTATTTTCTAGCAGTCGTTATGCAGTTGTAACGAAATTTTTACTTATCCAACATTTTATAAGTTGGTCGACTATTACCCATTAACTTCTTAATTCTACTTAGCTGTGATAGTTTTCCTTTTAACTTAATTTATATATATATATATATATATATATATATATATATATATATATATATATATATATATATATATATTACTATTGTGTATAGTTTTTTTAAGTATTTCACTTTTTGTTCATTTAAAGAAATTAGGAAAAATAAAATATAAAACTTTAATAAACTTTAACTCGTGATCTTGTTAAGTATGTATATAAAAACTTTTTTGAACTTGTTGACTAGATTAAAATTCATGTTTGAAAGATCTACGCCGAATGAATACAGACGAATATGTAAACGCGTCGTATTCGTCCACAAATAACGCGGCAAGTTATTCGGCAAGTTATTCATCAGTGGGCGCCATAATAGTAGATTTTTTTGTAGGATAGGGTGACAAACGAGCACACAGTCCACCTGATGTTAAGTAGTTGCTGTGGCCCATAGACATCTACATCTATCCTCATTTGCGATACAAAATGCAGGTGCGTTGTCACCCGTGAGGACTAAGATCGAATGCCTCTTTTCCAGTAAAAAGGGTATTCGGTTTTCTACGCTCACCATAGGAAACACAGCAGTGTTAAGCTGCTATTTTACGCTGGTATTCTGTGAGAGCGTGGTCCTTCCCCGGTCGAGCCGACCCATTCGTGCTACAACTATACTACTAACATAGCTGCAGCATGGCTCTACCGCGAATAATTGTCTCTTATTACCTTCAAACCGGAATATAGTAATGCAGGCACTGTTATTTGGCAATCTAATATCAAATTTTACTGGAAAGGGGGCATTCTATCTTAGTCCTCATGGGTGACAACGCATTTGCATTTTGATTCGTAATAAAATTATGACAAATAAATATAAAACTTTAATAAACTTTAACACGTGATCTCGTTAAGTATGTATATTTAACAAGGTAATAATACTAGGTATAGTAATTTTGTAGTTTTGGCGTCATTTGGATTGTGTTTTTTTAAGATACGTTAATAATATTCTGTCTCTTTCTCTCTGTTTGTCTAAGTTATTGAAGCACTATTTGTAAGTGAAAATCGAGCAAGTCCCCCAACTCATAGTAAATATATATCTCACACGACATTCGGATTATTTACAATTTATTCGTATAATTTTAATATTGGACTAGTAAAGCAAGAGAACTTTGGTACTGTTGTTTTTAAAAGACCTTATATGTTAGTGAACTTTATTATCTCGCGTATCAAACCATCTATTAGAGCCTATGAAAGTCAACTGCTGAAAATAAGCCCCCCCCCCCCCCCCCCAACGATTGCTTCAAATAGCGGATTTTACTATTGTTGCCACGCTTCACAGGCGGCTTAGTTTTTTTTTATTATTTTGACATTTTATCAGGAAAGTGATGCTGCCCATCTCCTGTTTCAGTTTCCTTCTATATCCATTTACGACACTCACGGGACGAGATGGGATAGTACCTAGATATTATCAAACGGCCACTACATAGTTAGAATTGCGATTTTGCATATTATGTCGAGAAGAAATGACTAGACCTAGACCACACTTGTACATTTAACAATTCCTTAAGTTTTAATTCTGATTTTTTAATAAATAAAAATTTGAACTTACAATGGAAAGATAATAGACCGCCAAATAGCAGTGCATGAATTGCTACATTCCTTATATTATTTATATATTTTTCCTTATATTACTTATATTATTTAGTATGAAGAGACATTATAATTACAAGCTGTGAGCCATTCTATCTTGGTATTCAGAGCTGATAACGCATATTTAGTTTTTTTTTTTTATTTCAAGTTGGTTGCAAATCCGTGGGCTGCGGTAGCCACTTACCATCTGTTGGACTGCAAGCTCGTCTGTCACTTCAGTTTTATAAAAAAATAACAAATATAATAATAGTGAGAGCATAACGACTCCCACATCATAATTTTTTAATTTTTTAATTTCAGATTATCTTTGTGAGCCTATTCTTGGCAACTATCGGCGGAGGTAAAGCTAACGTATCCGCACCTTCTCCTGCTGCCATTGCGTGCTGTATGAGATCGCCACAAACACCGATAAGCCCATGTTATGTCACCACTACTGCGGCCCCGTTAACTTGCCCATTTATGACAACAACAACTTTGAGTCCACCAACAATGACTGCAACTACCAGTACTACTACTACCGAGCAACCGACAACAAGTAGGATAACACAAATGCCGTATTTCACAAGCATAAGCCCAAGGCAACCAGACGCCATCGCATCATCAGCAACATCAACTACAGAAACACCATCGACAGCGGCGGTGCCGCTAAGACCAAACTTTGTTGTCGCACCAAATTATCCTAACCATATGCCAGTAATCACACCACCAATGAATTCGAGTTCGTCTGTAGTACCTCCATATCCTATGTTACGTGATCCTCAGCAGTTCGTACCTGTTATGATGAACCCGAGTACGGGTCAGGCGTATTACGTTGTAGCCAACCCTAACAAAAATGGAAATTCGTATTCACAAATCCTAAATGTTTACACTCAAGACAGAAACACGGGAGGCTATAATTGGATGCCTGTTGCAATGTTACCACAATTGAACAATAATTCAACCATTGTAAAACCATCTAGTGACAATAACTAATTTATTAAATTTAAATATCCAAAACATATAAAGGCCATTAAGCTGCGTATCGATTATGAGCTCCAAGAGGTCGAACATTGCATTGGCGCGCGTTCCAGCCGCTCGAAATGGATACCGTCTTGGGACGCATGCCAAATTGTTCGTTGGAACGCTCAAACGTGGAGTGGGCCGATCCATCTTATCAAAGTAGTTACATTTTGGCGCGCGCTCCAGTTGCGATGATTGCTTTCATCGTTCGTGTGTTCGTTGCGTTCCGAGCTATGGATAACCAAAGCTGCCGTAAATTGATAAAATTTTATGGTTCAAAATAACTGCTGTGGAATAGCAAAAGTCGTTTTATCATAATAAAGCGCTCAGAGAAGATGCATGGAACAATGAAAGTGGCAGCTGTTCGTACACGACCGACATCCATGTTGAACGACCAAACACTTGAACGGCTGCCGCGCGTGCCGGGTGCGCTTAGTTGATACACTTCGTATATTTGGAATGCGTTCCGTGGAATGCACTGGCCGGAACGGTCATTCGTGGCGCGCGCGCCAGGAGCGCGTAATCGATACGCGGCTTTATATACTTTTAAACATATTTTAATTAAGTTGTACATTCTATGATAATTCTACAATATAAAAAATAAATTATTTTGTACTAATCAGTAATTTGTCTTAACTTAAACCATTAATTGAAACTAATTTTTACTGACCCCCGACGAAAAGGGGGGTATTACATGTTTACGTGTGTATCTGTATATCTGTATACAATATGTAACAAAAACCTTGTGGTTCCTATTAAGTGCGTTATCAGAATCAGTATTCAAACGTATAGAAATAACTTTACTTCAGAAAACTCGACATTAAAATAATCAAATTAAATTTTAATTAAATAATATTTGTAAATTTTATGTGAGTTGATTACCTCTGCCTAGAATTATCAAGTAACTAAAACGAAATAGCAAGCAGCGACGACTGGCGGCGGCGTACATCAAAGACGGGGCACGCGCATGTGCGGGCGCGTCTAACCTACACTAACTAAAACCTACACTAAAATAGTTGAAAAAGTTTTAATGTAATTTAAGAATAATATATATGTATATTACCTATCTATTTCATAAATTATAATGGCGTTTCTACTATAATTATTGCGTGGATAGATGCCTAATGAGCAAATAAAAGGATTCAGATATATAGTTTTTTAAGTTACCGAAGGATAATAAAAGGTGAATTTATTTAATTTTTTTTGATAAACGGGTAAGAGGGTGGTACATGCATAGATGGGCGTAAATTGATTAAGAATCAAAATACAAATGCATTCTTGCTTCTGAGAACTAAGATGGAATGTCTCGTTATAGCGAAAAAAGAATTAAGTCATCATCATCATTCTCTAAACCATTTCCCATTATCTGGGGTCGGCGCAGTAAATCTTTTTGTTCCATTCCTCTCTATCAGCCGTCATTTCCATACTTACTCCTTTCATTCTCATATCACTCTTCACACAATCGATCCATCTTTTATTCGGCCTTCCTCTGCCCGTGTGTCCCTCCACATTCATATTCAACACTCGTTTTGTGACATGACTTTCATTCCTCCGCATCACATGCCAATCTGCTTCCTCTCACCTTTTCTACCACTGGCGCTACTTTCAGGCTTCCTCTTATATACTCATTCCTTATCTTATCCATCCTTGTCACACCACACATCCATCGTAACATTCTCATTTCATTCGCATGCAGTCTATTTTCATCCTTCTTCTTGACGGCCCAGCATTCACTTCCATACATGACGACAGGTCGGATGATCGATTTGTAAATTTTCCCCTTCAGCCTTATTGGCATTCGGGGATCGCACGTTGTGGCTGTGACCTGTCGCCATTTCATCCACCCTGCGTTAATCCTATGCTGCACAGCTCTATCTATTCCGCCGTCGCCTTGAATGAGGGAACCGAGGTACTTGACATCTGAGCAGATAGGCAGTATAGCGTAAAAAAGAATTAAGTACTTAGTAATAATTTAACTACAGAAGTAATATCTAAGTACTTTATTACAAAACTTAGTTGAAATTTACTTCACTGCCCAAGTACCTACTTATATACCTGTACTTGTCTTTTGTAATTAATATATTTTAAGTTATAATAAAACAAAAACCCTAAAATTAAAACTTTGTTTACAAGATTTTTAACTAAGTAGAATACGATCACATTTCTGTTAGGAATCTACCTATTTTACACTATCTACCTATGTCTTACGGGCCAGCATCGTAATCCCCGATGAATGGCCTTGCAAGTTGCATGCATTGGATATCACAGAACTCATTTAGTAGCGGAAATATGGTCGATCATAGTCAGAATAGGAATAGAAAAAAAAAGAATAGGTACTTCTAAGTGACTAACTTACAATTTCACAATGTATTTTTTATTCTTTATTGACGGCCCTTAGTAACCACAGAAATTCCGTCGTGACGTAGAAAGGAGTAAATAATAACTATGTTGGTTATTAAAACGTCGGCAAACAGTCAACATTAAAGGAGTGTAACTTCTGTACGTAGTACTATTATTTATTCTGTGTCGATTATCACAACTTTTAAAATTTTATTTCCACCGATTGTTGTTGTTCACCAGCGGTGTCGAAAATGACTTGGTTTATAAGAATGTGGATTAGTCGTTGACCATACGTGTTCATTATGATGTTCTAACAAAAAATCATTCTTTCGTGAAAAGTACGCTGTTCAAAAAATCAGGATCTCCTTCAACCTTATCGAGTAACCATCTACAGTAATCCATTCTCGGCTCGTAGTCATTGGGAAGAAGACACTGAACTCGACGATAATGATACGGGTGCTGGCCATCATCTTTGAGGGCTCTTCAAACGCGCATTTGGTTCACACCTAGATCACGTGCCACCGAGCGATAGATATATATTTTTTATATTTATTCATGGCAGTAAACAGGCCATAATGAAACGATTAATTAAAACCAAAATGCAAGAAAGCAGCAATTGATCTAGCTATAGCTGCTGCTAGAGAACTTGTTGATAATTCTGTTATAAAACTTCCTCGCATTATTCCTATACCAGAAACTGGTGGGGTACTACCTTTGATTCCGATTTTTGCCGGATTATCGGCTACGGGAGCCTTAGCAGGTGATGCAGCTGGTATACTTAAAACTATAAATGAAATCAAAATGGTTAAAAGACAATTTGCTGAATTGAATTGAAAAACATTGACACAATGAAAAAATGGAAGCTCTTTGTATCGGAAATAGGTTACAGTTTAAGCCTCATAAAAATGCATTTGGCATTTTGTATCTAAAGAAATAAAAAACTAGAATATAGGCTACCCAAACGCGCCTTAACTATTTGACATTTTAAAGTATGGAAAAAATATTCCCTATTTTCGAGGTGTCTTTATGAGATGAGCTCCCAACACACCCTTTTAAAAAAGAATGTGGAGTTATAAATTTAGATATTTCCTCAAATCCGGGATCTCATTGGGTAGCCTATGTAAAATTTAATAATTATGTTGAATATTTCGACCGTTATGGAAATTTTAAACCTCCAATGAAATTGATAAAATATTTAGGTCCTAAAGTCCACTATAATTATCCTTTTAATTGTGGACATCTTTGTTTGATTTTTTGGAGAACTTTTGGCGCAATCAAGACATAAAATAAACAAGAACTTCATAAATTGCTCAGTATACAAGCATGTCTATAACAGTTACTATCTCAGGAAATAAATCAGAATTGGATTCCTACTTTGAAACGCCTCTGAGTTTATCAGTTCAATACGAGTGCGGCTTACTATATTTTTCAGTAATAAACTCAACAACAAAATATTCTTATGTTCCTAGATAGTTCCCATCTGTGATCAGAATCGAATGTGATCTCATATACGGCTCATATTGCAACGGGTTACCTACTCATATTATTCACGAATTTGTATCTAAAACTGCTGCAGATAATCAATACATAGAAATACCTCAGAACGTTATTTACTTCCCAGTGAATAAAAATAATATTACATCTATAACTATTAAAGTTTAAATCAATTTGGTTACAGAATTATTTTCAAAGAACAATATATTGAAATTCGCCTCCATTTGAGGAAAGTAAAATGATATTGCACTATAAAAACCCTACAGTCTACTTAAAGCGCCCTATTACTTCTACACTCACTAAGGTGCGTAGACGTGAGAAAAAATTTAAGACCTTGAGTAAAAATAATAAAGATTTTCTAAAGTTCTTAGGATTTAAAGTATGAATATACTACAGATTAATGACTTACCAAACTTCGGTACTTCTATTGAAAGTTATGAAGTCCACTCTTATAATCCATATAATAATAGCTTTAGAGAAAACGATGAAATAAGAATTCCCATAAATCAGCAAGACATATATGTATTACCATCAGCCAGTTCAATTTACATCGAAGTTCGTGCAAAGCTCTTCAGCAAAGATGGAAACCAGATTGAAAAACCTGTTACGTTCAGTAATAATCCTATTATGTTCTTGTTTCAAAACATAAGGTATGAGATAAATGTAATCGAAATAGATCGTATTAAAAATGCTGGTATAACGTAAACAATTAAATCATACATTTCAACGAACGAAGCAGAAAATGAAGTAGCAGCTTTGTGGGGTTGGGATATAGATGGATTTAAAAGTGAAAACGGTGATTTTAGTGCTACTGTACCTTTAAATATGATTTTAGGGTTTACAGAAGATTATGCTAAAATTGTAATAAATTGTAAACATATATACTCATACTCATCATTCATCATTACAGCCCTTCACAAGTCCACTGCTGAACATAGGCCTCCCCCAAGGAATGCCACAAATCACGGTCCTGAGCCACCTGCATCCATCGACTTCCTGCATATCTTAACAGGTCGTCACTCCATCTAGTGAGGGGACGCCCAACACTTCGCCTGCCGGTACGAGGCTGCCACTTGAGAACCTTTCTTCCCCATCGGTTGTCGGTTCTTCGAGCTATATGGCCGGCCCATTGCCACTTC